AATATGGCAGGGTACTATTCTAGTGTTCTACTAAATTTCTATTATTGGATGCAACACCCCATTTTGAAGGCAAAGTCTACAAAGACCAATTCTTACACTCAATTTTGGAAGTTTACAAAGAGATTTGAAAGCAAAGTCCGCAAAGACTAATTTTGGACACTCAATTATAGAACCTTTTGAGTCTTATCATACCCTTAGGGAAATTTATTTCTTAAGAATAGTATGCTCATCTATATATGACCTCGTTAAAGTGGTCAAGATATATCTATGTAACATGACGTTCGAATCCATCCAGCGCTGATAGAATGCCAAATGACTATTCTTATATGAAATAAAGAGTTTAATTTTCTTCCGGCTATTTCTATGTTTTGTTGAATACATATTCATTTTCCTCCCAGCGCTTTGTAGCAATAACTAGTCCTTATGAGACAATTCTTCCTCTCTTGCGCCTACATAAGGATGAGACGTCATCCTTGCTCACGCCAATAAGAAACCCATCACAACAATGAGCTATCATCCCAAAACCAACAAAGCCTAAAAGATCCAAAGCATTCATGTCCTTCAACGTTAATACAAACAAAGAACATACTCGTAAAAAATATCTAGAAGGCTCAAAACACTCGAAGGAACAGAAAAGAGAAAAGATTATATTCCCTCCGTTTCAATTTATGTGAACCTATTTTCTTTTTAGTCAGTGCCAAAAAATGACCCATTTCCTTATTTGAAAATAATTTACCTTTACAGAATGATTTATAGCCACACAAAATATATGTGCCTCATTTTACACCACAAAATCAAAAGTCTTCTCTATTTTCTTAAACTCCGTGCCCAGTCAAATAGGTTCACATAAATTGAAACGGAGGGAGTATTAAATATCATTTTATACATATGACCCTAAAAAGGAAACACAAAATAAGTACAACGATCCAAAGCCCTGAGACGATAACTAACCGCTGGCCTTTGTGCAGGAAGTAGAGGGGGTATTCTAATCAACAACACCAATAGGGGCCTACATTTCGGGGATAGGAGTCCCTTCTCCACTTCATCATCTTAAACATCTTCCATATCTTCAACTTCATAGGAAGTAAGACCTTTCATATCTGGAGATGGGAGTCAAAGTCATCGACTGAGATCCATTGCCTTTTCCTCTAATTGAGGAACCTCAAGTTGAAAATCAATTGCACTAGTGCAAACTTCGTGAACGGTGTGCAAGCGGGTTTCACTAATGGTCCAGGATCATAGGGTGTTTCTTTCTGCAAGTTCTTGAAGGCCACTTGAATAATCTCACGATCGACATTATTGGCCCGGGCTATCTCCTCAATCATGGACAACTCTGACCTTATCCTTTGAATCTCAGTTGATAAACGGGAACACTCTTCCCTTAGCTGAACCTCCTCATCAACCTTCAAGACCTAATCAACCTGGAGGGCAAAAAGCCTATTATTGGCCCTATAACATTCGACCAGTAGAGCTGCCTTGCTGTCCAAAAATCAGCCATTCTCGTTTTGGAACTCCACTCTACGACTTTGGTCCTGGCCAAGAGAGATCCCCTCTATTCTTTGAGCTACTAGAGCTAAACCCTCAATTTTTGGTCATACTTTACTACTTCCTTGGACATAGCGGCATCCTCTTGGACCCTCTTCAAAGTCCTCGAACTGAGCACTGCGCTAACAAAATGAATGACTTAATGTTATGTTATTGATCGGAAAGCCTAATAAAAAAGTATCGCTTTAGAAGACTTACCCTTGCTGCTTTATAAGCCATTTGAGTCATCAAGGCCTCAACGTTCATAGACGCCATTTGTTTTAGTCTTGGGGACTCAAATGGCTTGGGCTAGTTTAATATTTTGACCCCGCTTGGCACCGAAAATTGATAAGATGGTGGTCAGAAGTCTCCACTATAGGAACAAGGGGACCATCATGGGCCAATACAGCCACCTCATTTAAACCTTCTCGATAACTTGCCTCACCTCATTTGAACCTTTTCGAGAATTCACCTCTTCGGTAGAAGGGACAGTTTGGAAAGGAAGAAACTCTCGCTCGCTTGAGGGCACCATGGCTATCTCATTAGATGAGATAACTCACCTTATCAACATACCCTCATCCAAAATTATATCTATCGCGGCTTCTGCAGCCATTCCTCCCTCTAGAATAACCCTCTACTAATGAAAGAACAATGGTTTCCTCGCCGAAGTGAACTTGGACGGGGTCGGTGTACGTTTACCCTCCTGTAGCACTATCTTACATAGGCGGGGGAATGGATCGAGTGGCACCCTCTCCTAACCCAGATGTCTAGGATTTCTTCTCGGAAATACGCTTCCTCTTTAAAGAACCAGAGGAATATGGTCTTAAAGGAACCTTCTCCGAAATTGTGAGGATCAGTTCTCGAATAAGCCGAGATGCCATTTCTACGGAACCAACCCAAGGCTTGGGTCTTTTATTAAAACCCATATCTATTTAGATTTGCATATGTTAGACATAGCGATGATGAAGGAGAAAATTGAAGTTGTAAGCTTAAAGAAGTCTCACCATGATACTTCGCTCGAACACCTCCTAGTTCGGCCGCGATATTTTTCCATGACTTTGAAATTCTGGTGGATACTCCCAAGATCTTGGAAACCCAATCCTCTATGTCCAGGACCGCTTCCACCTCCACCGCAGTAGGTGAACAATGTAGTAAGTGGTAAAAGGGTCTTCTCTAATTTAATCTAAGAAAGTGAAAAAGACCAAAAAACTTATGCGCAAACCTCCATTTTTCCGGGAACTTGATATTCGTGTCCGACCAAAGGAACTTGGTTTGGATGACTATGTATCGATCACACCACCTCTTTTCAAAGTCATTCCCATAGTCTGAGATGCGAGCCTTCAAACCCTGATGCGTCATGTTAATCATGCCCTCTCAGTAGAGTTTGGGAGAGTACAAATAAAGTAAATGCTAGTAAGTAGAAGGTACATCAACCTTGGAAGCCAAGTGTCAAAAGCCCATCACCAAGATCCATACCTAAGGGCCTATTGGTGCTAGACACAACTGGTAATTGAAGCAAAACTTCTCCATGATCTCGACAACCAGAAGGGAAAATCCTATCGAGAATGGATATGTCCTGATGAATGAATGCCCATGCGGTGGCTTGTAATCCTCTTCTCCCCTCAAGGGTGTCCGAGGAAAAGATTCATCCTACTGTCCTATCTGCAGTCCTTTCGAACAACAGGGCGTATATGATTTGTTATAAGAGCCAGGAAGTTATACATGGAGACCTGTCTTTCGGTGTTCTCCCTGATGTTGAAATTATTATCTTTCCTCAACTCTTTTGGCACAATGTCTGAAATGGTCCGTTATAGCTGATCGACAAACTCGACCTTTTCGTTCCTCTTTTTCTTTGTTAGCAGAAATGTCACCTCCACCACGGCCACATTTGTAGTATCAGCGACAACAGTGGTTTTAGGTGCAATAGATCAGGAGAAGACGGAGGTCTCTCCACTGAAGGATTATGATCTTAAGATCCGTTAAGACTATATTAAAGAAAACTAAAAGTCAGGAAAGTTTGATGAAGAGTTTTTTTCCTTCAAAAGTGAGTAGAAGATCAAGAAGAGGTGAAGATATAAGGAGATACAGATAGAAACGAATATGTTAAGTAAGCATGAGGTTTGGATCATTCCTTCCCATTTTTTATTAAGGAATGACTATCATTGCCTGGAGAATCGATGCAGACACCGACTTCAAGCTCAGGGCGGATGTTCTTCTATTGTACCTAACTACCCATGAGTTCATGTTGTAATAATTAGATGTTATGTATACGATTTAAGTATTTATGAAATAATATTTTCTTGTTTGTTAATTATGATTTGTACTTTCCCTTTTTACCTATTTAAATAATAATTTAATATAATTATCGGTATATTTATTATGTGTGTTGTGTTGTCGCTATCACGATATTTAATACACAAAATATACATATGGCACTATATGTGTCTTATCTTGTCGAACTGGAAAAACTGAAAACATCATGGTATGGCGCCATTAGATATGTGTGACCGGCTGACATAAAGTCATCTCGTCAACATCATGATATGGCGCCATTAGATATGGCGCTATCTAATATAGCGCCATTAGATATGGCGCTATATGTGTCTTGTTTAGCCTATAAATAATGGGGTCATTGTAGTTATTTTGTGTGCTAAAAATTTCCCCCAAGAAATATTTCATTAAAAGTAAGTAAGGTTTTTATTATAAGCAAATAATTCACAAATGGCTCAACCTGGTCATCCACCAATTTGCTTATGTGGAAAACCATGCATGATGGATTGTGGGTGGGAAGGTGCTAACGTTGGACGCCACTATTGGTGCTGTATGAACAAGTTGTACAAGCAACCCGACGAACCTACTTGTGAATTTGATGAATGGGCTGAGGAACCATGTTATCAGGAAAGCTACAGGGATAGATTACAGGAATTTCATAATATGTTGTTATACCAGCATAGAATACAAAAGGAGGGAGATAGAATTATTACAGAAATGAGGGAGAAACTGAAGGAGGTGGAAGATAAAAAATGGAGAGCAGAATGGAATTGTGAAGCACACAAGGAACGCAACGAAAAATATAAACGGGAACTTGCGGAGGTGAAGGCGAGAGTGAAAGAGTTAGAAGAAGAAAAAGAACAAATGGAAGAACGATTTAAGTGGTTGGAGCGAAGAATAAATGACAACTGAGGATGGAGCATTGACGTGTATGTGTTTAGTGTCATTTTCATATGTCATGTATTTTTATTATGTTGGCCTGTTATGTTTGTGTTTGTGTTGTAGTAATGTTTTCCTTGTTTGTTGTACTAAATTTTATTTTAATTTAAGTGGAAGTTAAGTTTAAGTTGTTGTGTTACTATACCAAATACTATAAAACGAAATGAGAACTAAAAAAAAGTAACTGTCATATTCGACTAAATATTGTTGTTAATGTATACAAAAATATTATTTACACCAAAAAAACAAAAAAATGGAAGACCGAATCAATGTGTCCCACATCCGGTGTGTCTCAAAGTAGCCGTTGGCCTGAGGCGCATCCCCTGCCGCCCGGGTACGCTATCAGGATCATCATCATCAAGTCGTCTCCTTATGGCCGGATGCGGCACAGGATGACATGTATCGGTGGTGCTGTCAGGTCCAGTAGAAGGCTACATAATAATATCAAACTTAGTATAGAAAACTACATAACAATTCACAAAAATTTATATTGTCTTACCATAATCGTGTCTGGATCCTGAATGTAGTCATCTGTCGCAGCATCGCATGAAGCCTAAAAAAGTAAATTAATAAAGTTAAAAGAAAATAAATAAGTTATAGTAAAAACAGTAATAAAATTAATACTAATAAACTCATACCTGCGCATGTGATGAGCTGCCATAACTCAGTCGGTGCCCACTATCAAAATCTCGGATCGGTCGAGACTCATCAGTGGTAGACGGGCCAGGGAAATATCTACCCAACTCCACTCCTTGAAAATCCGAGCCCATGATCAAGAATTGACCCGATGGGGTCACCTGCGACGTCCCTGGAGTGTCATAAATGCCAAGGCTGTAAGACGACATGTCGGTCTCATGCATGCCACCTCCCATATCAGCAGCAACATCATCAGCAGGAGCCTCAAAGCCCCCTTGCTGGGGACCTCCTCTCCGCCCACGACCGCGTCGTCCAACACCAGCAGGTCGTCGTGGAGCAGCAGCAGCTCGTCGGCCACCACCCCGTGGCATACCACGACCTCACTGGTACGTGGCTAGGTCAACATAATCTGGCTGGTGTGCCAAACGCTGATCTGATCGGCCTCGCTGCAGTGTCTGGGCAGCCACATCCATTAAGCGATGACTATAGTCCTGCATGATCACAGGGTCATGGACATAATTCTGCATCTACTGCCCCATACGATATACGGTATGCAATTCCTACAGAAGGGGAGATTATGATGGCCATGATACTCTCGTTCAAGTCTATGATGCAATACCCACCTACAAGCTAGAGGGAGATCAGGAATATGTACATTAGCCGGTAGCTGTGGTAGAGGTGCCCGAAGTTGCAGAAATCGCTCCCACACCCAAACCTAAAACACAAAGTTGACGTAAAGATTAACTATAAATAGGTAGAATTGTAACTAAACGACAAATTATTTGAATAAGTTGTCACCTGTAGAAGTGGCAGAAAGCCAGAAACGTCTCTCTGTGTGCACATGGATGCCCGGCACATCTGCCTGTACAAAAAAGATAGGACAGCACCACTGTAGCTAACTGTATCATCGAAGTCCGCAATATGATGCAGAAAACGAAGGCTCACTAGGTTCCCCGAAGTG